TTGTTGTTTAAAGTGGCTACAAGCAAACAGAAAGGGACCTAGCGACAAAGCCCACCTAAAATGAGGCAATGGAATTGTCATTAGAAGTAATCAATAACAATCATTAATGCCCTAAAAGAAGTTTTATGAGAGGTCATATCCCACTCACCTTTGAAGTTCATGTCTTGGTTATGGCCCAAACTCTCTGTTCCATCCCCCCCAAAGTTGGGGTGAGGTTCAGTTCTATCTAGATATATTTAAAAATTTTAATCTCACAAGCCCAGGGTGGAATCTAATGAAGCAGAAGTGTACAGTACTGTTTTGTACAGAGAAAAAAGGGGCAGCAGAACAGTGCTACATATATCGTCTCTAGGTCTCTTAGTGTTCCACAATTTTTATCTTATTGCTAATTGTGAGTTTTGGAAGTTTCCTCAATTTTGGCAAGCATTTAACACAGGTAACAAGCAGTATTTATTCATTTTATCATTTGGAAAATGGTAAAATAGCATACCATATCTAAAATATTAATAGCTTTATATTCTGGATTCAAATAAGCAAATCGTCACTGAAATTGCTGAAAAGTATTAAACATACTTTTTTCCTTATCATGACAGATCTGAAGAATAGCCTATGTTATATGCAGTATGAAATATACAATAGGCCACACCTAAAATATTTTCAAATAAATAATATTAGTGAAAAAAAAATCTATATTTATATCTGAATTAATGGAGGATAAAAAGGGAATGCCAAAGTAAACCAAAGTAAAATATTGATCAGCTGGTATAACACCAACTTAATATTAATTTAATATCCAAATGGAATCATACTTACCATTTTCATTATTTAATTAGTTTGTCAATCCTCTACTAATTAATGCAACATTAGTAATATCTTTGATGTCTTTAATGGGGTCTAGTCAATTTCCAAAAGGATACAAAGGAAATTGCCCATGTTTTAGTTTTACCTAATCTTAAATTTTTTTCATGTGTGAAATTTTAACAATGAGACTTGGCAAGAGCACCTGTTTCCTAAATTAGTTTAATACCAAATTAATTCTGACTAGATTAGCAGCAGTTGTTTAATATCTGCTATAAGAAATACATTAACATAGAAAAGTTTTAAACATGCTGTCATACTGCTTTAATTTGCTAACTCAATGTCATACCACTTCTACTATTTTTTAAGTTAATATTCCTACTTTTAAAAATAAAAAGATAAAATATTAAGAATGAGTACTTGGGTAAATATTTTCAAAGATTTCTGGCTGAGATGTAGAAAACAGTTCCACTATAAATGGTAGCTCTGAAGTCCCGTCAATGATGTGGATCCAGCGATAAGACCAATAATCTTCACGGCTTTCTATATGGATAGAATATTAAAATAAATGACGGTAACTGATTATATACATGTGAACATATAACTATATGCTGAAATAGTTGTGATTTTCAACGTTAAAAGCTTACCTTTCTTTTTTGACCGCTGGACTCTTCCTACAAAAACTAGCAAGCCAATAACATCACAGATACGATTTTCTGGCATATCATCCAGTTCTGATCTAAAAAATCAAAAATTATTAAATAGTTTATCTTTAAATAGTGAAAAAGCATTCTATAGTTATGATTTTTTGAAAATGTATACCTAGGTAGTTCCTGCAGTATAATTTTGGCTGTTTCTTTCCTTTTTTTTTTTTTTTTGAGATAGGGTCTCACTCTGTCACCCAGGCTAGAATGTAATGGCCCAATCATAGCTCACGTAACCTTGAACTCCTGGGCTCAAGTGATACTCCCAACTTAGCCTCTTGAGTAACTGGGACTATAGGTATATGCCACCATGCCTGACTAAGCTTTTTTTTTTTTTTTTTTAAAGAGATGGGATCTCAGTATGTGGCTTAGGTTGGCCTCAAACTTTTGGCCTCAAGTGATCCTCCTGCCTTGGTCTCCCGGGCTGATTTTGGGTAGATTTTGAGCACATTTAAAACACATTGTTCTTCAGTAATTAACATTAAAATTAAAATTTAAGACATTTTACAAGCAGCTATTTTACCTTGTGATAAATCGGTGATTTAATTTTGGCAATCTCCATTCTGGTTTCACCTGCCTTTCTGGTACGATCATTATATTTGTTGGAGGATCTCGAACATTCAGGCATATTTCTAAAAATCAAACATATTACTTTAATATGATATTTAATACATACTAAAGAACATACATGTACATCTATTACACAGAAAACTAATAAAACTAAACATTTTGGAATCCACCACTTAGCCCAAGAACTAGACCATTATTAATGGTCTTCCTTTTCTTGCTATTTTCTTATTTCCCCACCAAAGATTAAGCATTTTATGTTTTATCATTTTCTTAACTTTAAAAAAGGATTTATTACTTACATGCTTTTGCCCAAACAAAATAATGTTTGTCTTTGCTTTTTAACTTTATATGAATGGAATTATACAATATTTGGATATAAATGGAATTATATAATATTTGGTATTTTATGGCTACTTTTTTCTCTCAACATTACTAAAATTTATCCATGTAGCTCCATGTAGCAGGGTTTTTTTTCATTTTTACGGCTAACGTTCCAGTATGTCAAAATACCCAATTTAATAACTATATCTAATTTACCTATTATTGTGTTGAAGAACATCTGTATTATTTCAAAGTTTTACTGTTACACAAAGGATTGTTACAACACATTTTTGTATGTCTCCCTATGCACACAGGCAAGTGCTTTTCTTTCTTTTCTTTTTTGAGACAGAGCCTCAAGCTGTCACCCTGGGTAGAGTGCTGTGGCATCACAGCTCACAGCAACCTCCAACTCCTGGTCTCAAGC